GGGACGGGCAGGATATATTTAGAAATAGTGACTAACCCTCCTAAGCACTTTAACACACCACATAATCAACTTTAAGCGCAAATTCTTCAATCCACTTCAATTTTACAAATAATATCACCCCAAAAATGCTCCCTTCTTCTTTAAGCACTACATTAATTCATACCCACTAGCAAGAACAAGACAACAATTTATTCATCTCTATTTTTTTTTCTTCAGATTATTCTTTTTTTTTCTTTCAATTTCTGCTAATGGTGTATTATTTTACAAAACAAGTGCACCTTTCTTCCTTTTATTGGTTTCACTCAAAAGCCACCTCACACTTAGTTCCTTCTTACTTCTTTTAGCGCTCATCTCACAATTAAAGTGCTTTAAGAGGTAAAACGATCAAAACAATATCAATTAAGAATAAAAAGGGTATAGGCTTGTAATGTGGGTGCCAAATAAAGTTCTATAGGCTCAAAGTGTTAATTAGGGATAAATTTTATTTATGATAACCAATAAGCTCAAAAGATCAAAGAAAGCCTAAAATCATTTTTTTCAAACCGAACATCACCTTAAATTTCGCTTCAACTCACATATCGGGCAAGTTCTAGACACAATATATAGACTACACAAAAACCTCACCACACATGGCACATGACTCACTAAGAACGGTCTCATTCCGACTCTCAAACAAATGCAAGTATTCCGGAGCCACGAGATATTAAGCATTAAGCACAAAGTGAACACAAGTCAAGTAAATGAGAAGTAGGTATCACAAAATATGCTATCCAAGTAAGCAAGGCATCATCAATAAATTCAAATCATAGGGAAGATACTACACATGCCAAAGCCTAAATATGCCACTATCAAACAAGTCAAGGGCGCCTAGGTTCATCATTCTTCCTCCATTTATTCCCTAAGTTCTAATCTACTCTAATAATAAAAAATAAAAAATACTACTACCCGGTTCAAACTACATCCCATGGAAAAGAACCGAGGCACAAAGAAAAACCACGGGGGATTATTACTACCTAAAGAAAGCTAAAAGACATATTTTTGTGTTTATTTTTGTGTAGACTTTAATCCCTCAAGAAAACTGTCTAGGAGATCCATCGTCGGGAAAAACCTCAATTTTCTAAAAATTTTCTTTTTTTCATTTTTTTCGTTTTTATTTTATTTTAATTTTTTAACATCAAATAACTACACTAAGAAAGAATACTACAACTAACCTAGGATAGAGCAAAAAAATTATCTAAACAATCTCCTCATCCCACACTTAAAATTGTGCAATGTCCTAATGCATACTGAAAATAACAAGAGGGAAAAAAAGAGACTCCCTGGTAGGCCAAAGGCCGAAGCATTAGCAGCTCACGGGATACTCATACTTCTCCTAAGGATGGTCCTTTGTGCGGTCACCCCACACTAAGTTCTAACCACATGGCTCACTTTTGCACACTTCCTATGGCTTTGCTCCCTATGCTCAATATCCTACAAAATAAAATAACACTACAAAAATAATAAAAATAATAAAATAGACATAAGTAAAAGAAAGCAGTAAAGTTGGATTGCCTCCCAACAAGCGCCTAATTTAAAGTCGCGGCACGACTTGAACCAATTTTTGTCTCCACCTTGAACTTATGAATTGTACCCCTAACATGGCATCCAGTCTATGGCTATGCTCCTTTGGTGGGGCTACAAAGATAACCAGGCCAAGCAATAAAGTTTTCACTCTGCACTTCTCGGCCTTTAGATGAGGAATGTAATTTTCGCTTTTTGGCACAACAAATTCAAGAATATAGGCGCTCTCATCCTCACTCTTTGACCCCTTCATTGGCTCAGATGGCTCGATTACTATCTTACTATCTAAACACAATGTGCAAAAATAATTAGAATGAGGTCTAATGCGCTCTAACTCATGAATTTTACTACTCTTTGCATCCCCATATTTACACTCACTCAAGTCTCTCAAAGTAATGTTATCTACTCCCTCACATGACTCTAGAGCACTCTTCTCAATATTGTCATCCTCAAGAATAACATGGTCTAGTGATTGGTATTCTCGTTTTAGCTCCTCAATTTGGTCTAAAAGATTTTTTTCAGCTTCACACAACTCATTATTAAATTATTGGGCATTATACGCATCAACCTTTGTGCTCAAATCTGCATCTAAGTTATGTACAGCCAAGCTAAAATTATCAATTTTATGTGCATGTTCATCTCTCTCCTTAGACCAATCATTCACCAACGTTGTTAGAAGACAACGTCGTTCCTCATATTCCCTTAATCGTGAATATTCTTCCCAATACCAACCATTACTCCCATATTCAAATTCAGACCTCCAAGAAGTCAGGCCATGAAAAGACCAAAAATACGAACCATAAAAGTCTTTTGTCAACCAAGAGTCTTCATCAATAGCATTACCTCCGTATATTTCATCCCCAGATGTCATGCTGAGAGAACTAGGAACACACTAAGAGAAAAATATTAAATATTTGTAAAAATAAAAGTATATACAAAAAAGGATAAAATTAAAAGTCTAATCTAGAAAAATAGTTAATTTCTAAGTCCCCGGCAACGGCGCCAAAAACTTGTTGCGGCCAAACGCACACGCAAGTATACGCGGTCGTCAAGTAATAAAGTGACTAAAAGTTGGATGTCGATCCCACGAGGACTTGTGATTAACTATAAACTCAATTAGACTATCCTAATTATCTATACAAGAATTAAACCAAGAAGTATTTGATTCTAAACTAATTAAAATAAATAAAAACAAATAATAAACTTTGGACAGAGAAAGAGCAGATTTTTATGATATCAATGTAATGAAAACGATCTAGAGTTATAGGCTATCTAACATTCCTATTGTATTCTTCAATTGAATTGACTAACTAATTTATCTAGTTTATTGGTTGACATAGTTAATATTGCTCATAAGAATCTGTCGAGTTCTTACTCGCCTATTCAAGCTAACCCAACGCCTATATGTCTATGGAGTAGAATCAACAAGAACGCATTTATAATTCCTGTATTTTAACCAAGCAAGGCAATTAGGTATATGTCTATCCTAACCGCGAATCCGTTCCCCGAGGCCCAGGTTCAAGAACTTGCTCTACTCAATCCTATATGCAATCTAGAATTCTCACTTTCGAGTTTAACTCTAGATTCGTAGATAGTATTCAATTGGTGATCAAGCAATCAAATAATTAAGTGCAGGATTGAATAAATAAACCAATATGATAAACTAAGAAATCATAATCAATATCCGAAGAACAACAGTCATGAAAGAACCACAACCCTAGAACGTGAAGTTTAGCTCCACATAGACATGGTAGCAAAACAACAAATCATACAAAGAAACATAAAAATTACTAAGTTGGTGGAAGAAAGATGAAACCCGGCCTCCACGGCGGCTCTGTGCTTGTCCTTGGTCAAAAATTGCTCTAAAAAACGTTCTCCTATGTATATATACCAAGTAGGGTTAGGCCCAAACAATTATACCTTCTCCAATGTGAAAAAGGACACTTTTCCCGGGCTTAACTAGCGCTGCAGCGCATTTGACCGCGCATCTGGGCGCGCTAATTGGCTGACTTTCTGTTTCTGGGCGCGCTAAAACTAGCGCGGCCGCGCATCTGGGCATTTTTCACCCTGTTACGTTCCGAATTTGGAAAAACGTAAAACATGAAAGTTGTAGCCCTTTGAGTTAGCTTTCCAACCATATATTGTGGAGCCAAAATGGAGTTCTGAGCGAAAAGTTATGTCTATTTTACTAGACAGTAGGCAATCTGCCTACTGGAGTCTTCGTTCGCTCTAACTATCATCCGTTGACCCCCAAACACGATTCCGGCTTAATTCCTTGAACTTTTACTCAGACTTCAAAGCTTAAAATCACTTAAATTCATTGCATAACATCTATATAGCTCGGAATCACACCTACAAGGCATAAAACACACAATTAGTGCAAAACACTAGCGATTAAAGCGCAAACTCAATTAAAGTGCAGTAAATTAGAGTGTAATAATCGACTAAAATACGTAATTATAGCCTATCATCAGCCGCGACCCAGCGTTGTGGACCGCGAGGGGTGCCTAACACCTCCCCTCAAGGTTATTTCGAGCCCTTACCCTAAATCTCTAGTAATGCAAATCAGTCCATGAGTTAATTGCTCAAGGTGCCCTAACGCACCATAATTCGTTAGGTGACGACTCTTCAAATACCCTATTCCCAAAAGGAAAAGAGTTATTCCCCCATGGAATGTCAAAACCCGGACCTTTCTCCGCGAGGAGGAAAAAAAAGGGGGCGCGACAATACCTTAACGGACAAACGTGCTGTTAAGGTATAGCGCATTGAAGACATGCATCTATATCTATATATAATATAAAGCTAGGCATAGACAAGATGATGTGGCACCTTTCTATGGCCTCCATTCATATTTATCTTTTATCTCCTTTTTTTTGACTTTTACTCTATTTTTTATCCTTATTTTCTAATTAAAGAATTAATTATATTCTACCTTTATTAAGTTTGATTAAATAATATAACATTAATCCATTTTAACTTAAGAGGCCATAAAGACCGTATTTAACCTTTGCTGTTATAAGTTACAACTTTTTCCGATGAGTTTTGAAATGTAAAGGCTCACATTTAATTATAGAATTTGAGTTTTACTCTATTTTTTATCCTTATTTTCTAATTAAAGAATTAATTATATTCTACCTTTACTAAGTTTGATTAAATAATATAACATTGATCCATTTTAATTTAAGATGCCATAAAGACCGAATTTAATATTTTCTGTTACAAGTTACAACTTTGTCAGATGAGTTTTGAAATGCCTGCTCACATTTAATTATAGAATTTGAAACGGTTTCTTATCATTAAAATCTTACCACCACTTTTTTCACAGACTCTATATAGATATATCTACCATTTGTATATCTCATGTTTATGGTACTGCTTCATTAGCCTATCTCTTTAACAAAATCACAAGTATTTGCAATGAAGAGATACTCAAGATACCTGCTAACCTCAACTCCTAATCTTGCCATTGATGAATGGTGTTGTAGAAAGGAAATGAGAATCATCCTAAAAATGTTTAGTAAGTTTATTTCTAATTTGTTTAAATTCTACCACATTTATTGCTATATCGTAATATTACACCTTTTTTTGTTAATTCTGAGATGGGAGGGCAGAATGCCCTATATGACAGTTTTACGTCAAGAATAGGCCATTAACTTATTCTAATTAATTTGCTATTTCGTACTTATTTGATTTGGAAAATGGATGCTTGCAGGTTAATCTCATTTGTGGGATCCAAGAAACATGAACATATATGGGTTGATAAGTTAAAGTAAAAAAAAATCTCTCTTTTCTATATATAAGAGGACATAAACAAGACTAACTCTTCTAAAACCTGAAATGGGGAAGGAGAAAGAAAGGAAGGACTATCTTACTAGTCAAGCGCGCAAGCTGCAATCAAAAAACACCTTCCAGTACGACTACTATGTTAGGACTTCACTCATGTCACTAGCCCTGACTCAGGCATCGGCTCCCCTTTTTGAATACCCCCTCACTCCATTTCTTAGTAGGAGTGCCCCTATGTTTGCAGGACATTTCGTCCAAGAACAAGGTTTGAGGCACCTTTTTTGGCCAAGAATCTTATTTATCTATTTTACCTTATTTTTGCCTTTTCCCCTTCATTCTTTTTATATATTTTTTTAATAATTGAAATCAGTCATTTTCTATTCTATTTGTTACATCTTATTATGTTTATTTCAGTTACTATCTTCGGCCCCCTTTTCAGTTTCTAAAACCTTTAGTTTTCAATATCTTTTCATTGTCTTTTATTAAATGAAGGAAATATGGCGATGACACAAAGACGAAATTGCTGCAGGAAGACATCATTAGCTCTGAAAGGACCAAGAGTCCAGCTAAGGAGGAAAAGAAACCATCCATATGTTATTACCTCCTCTTTCTTTTGTTTTTCCTCTTTAAACTTGTAGCTTTTAAAATTCCTTCTTCCCCTAATTTCTTGCATTTTCACTTTTTTGTCGTTCGATCTCTGTTATTGATTTTTTTCTTTTTGTGGCTAACTTTTTTTTTTTTTTTGTCTATAAATGTTAAACGAAACATACAAAGGTGTCTAATTAGTAAAGGTAGATTTTCTTTTATTTATAAAAACAATGCATTACTATTTTTTCATATTTTAATTTTTTTATACCCATGAGTGATGATGACAGTTGGGATGTATGTATATGAATTTCATAAATCTTTCCTCTCACATTAGTAAAGGTAGCTTAGTTGTCACTTTCTTATTAGTAGTTTTAATTTTTTGCTCTCACAAAAAAAAAAATCGAAGTATCATTTTGTAAATTTAACGATAACTTCTTTATGCATGTGCGAAGCGCGAGCAATTTCACTAGTTATATATAAATGTGTCCACAATTGCTTTTTCACCTATTTTTGTGTTGTCAAAAAAAATTGGTTGGCCAAATTAAAGTCCCATTATTGATGAGTCCATACTTTTTCGACCTAACTTTCTGTCGTTTTTCCATCCTCATTTATTTAAGCCTTTGAATTCTCTTTACGTCCATCTCCTTGCAACTTCATCCTGGTACCTTTTCATTTATAGCAGCCATATGCTTCCTATCTTTTGATTTATTACAGATCCAAAGCTGTGAAGAATTTGAGAAGACTTCTGGTGGGCTCTTGTTGATTTATCTTCAAAAGACGCTCCCTGCAAAGTGTATGGAAGCTTATGTTACTTTCACTTTTGAAATATAGCAAATGTATTTGCTTTTAATGAATACACCATATGAACTGGTAATTAATAAGTTGAAGTAAAATAATCACGGGGAAATTGAAATTAAAAGCGATTGCAACTCTTTTGAAACTTAAAAGATTTAGATGAAATTTCTCTAGTGTTACATGCGTGTGCTTCTTTTTACCTTTTATAACTAGTATTCTACAATATACTTTTGACCAAATTACTAACCATCACTTATCAAGCTATGGTTTCGGAGTTTTAAATTTTTGAAAGTAATATGTTACTCAATCACTAGCTACTCTTTCATGTCACATGTTGTATGTTTTAATTTTCTTAAAAACATATCACATGTCACATGTCATATATACATATTATAGTTGAAGATAAATGTGATTAATTTTGCTGCGCAAATCTATATTAAAGAGCTCAAAGAGAGTATCGAACACCAGATAGGAAATCAAATAAGTGTGGTAAAAACCGTTATTGAAATATCACATCTACCGTTGCAATAACCAGATATCAAGCAATTAATCTCCCGAAACTGAGAATCTGTTATGTAAAAAGAATTTCAACGTTCATCTAATCATAAGTGTGCTCAAGCTCGCTATTTAATCTTCTTTTTCAACGTAAAGATAGACCTTTTAATTAAGATTTAAGACTACAGCGTGGTGTGCTGGTGTCTAAGTTGTACAGTGTTGGTCTAGGACCTTAGGTTCAACATTTATTACTTTGGTAAGGAGGATAACATATTTCATATAAAGATACTTTTGTTTTTGTGAAAAAATGTTTTATTTGGTGAAATCGTTTAATTTATTCCTTTGTATTTGATTGGAAAATGTTCAAATATCCTTAACGTTTACTAACATTTATCTATTAGGCACTCAGTTTGCCGATCCGTCCATAAATAATAACTCTCATCCTCATCTTTTTCTTATCTCAAATGTGCCCTCTTTTATTTTTTGTTTTTTCTTAGGTGTACACTATTTTGCTTTGAGACCCTGACTAATTTGAATTTGTATCACGTATAACCTATTAAAGAAAAAATTGCTCTCTTCATTTCCAAGGTTCAAAACTGAAACCCCTTATTAAGAATAAAAAATATGTAACTGATTAATTTGAACTCGTCCCGCATAAATGTGGCTAACGAATTGAGCTGGCTTCTATTCCTAAACTAAATTTAAAGGTGGAGGGATAAATATATATAGCGTCTTTTTAAAGATCGGTTGGCCAGTTAAGTATCGTCTTTTTAAAAGACGCTATACTTGAATTAAAAAAAAGCAGGAAAATATAGCGCTATACTATAGCATCATAACAAAAGACACTATATATATATATATATATATATATATATATATATATATATATATATATATGTATATATAACGTCTTCTTCCCTTCCCCTAAAACAAAACCAGAACGGTTC